CTGCTATAAAAAAAAAAAAAACAGAAAATAACAAGTGTTATTAGCAAGGATATGCAGAAATAGGAACTGTTGGTCCAACTGTTGGTGGGAATGTAAAATAGTATAACTGCTTTGACAACAGTATGGAAGTTCCTGAAAAAATTAAAATTATCATATGATCCAGTAATTCCACTTCTGGGTATATACCCCAAAGAAGTGAAAGCAGGATCTTGAAGACATATTTGTACACCCATGTTTATAGCAGCATTATTCACAATAGCTAAAACATGGAAGCAACCCAAGTGCCCACCAACAGATGAATGAATATGCAAAATGTGGTGTGTGTATATACATACATATATATATATATAATGGAATATTATTCACCCTTAAAAAGGAAAGAAAATCTGAAATATGCTACAACATGGATGAAACTTGAGGACATTATGCTAAGTGAAACAAGCCAGTCAGAAAAAGAAAAATATTGTGATTCTACTTATACGAGGTACTTAAAGTAGTCAAAATCATAGAGACAGAAAATAGAATTATAGCTGCCAGGGCCTGCAGAAAAGGAGAAATGGGGGACTTATCATTTAATGGGTATAGTTTCAGTTTTATAAGATGAAAAGAGTTCTGAGGATGGATGGTAATGATGGTTGCACAACATTATGAATGTGTTTAATACTGCTGAACTGTACACTAAAATGGTTAAGATGGTAAATTTTTTTCCTTTTTTTATTAACGTGTTAATATACAATCTTATGTTGGTTTCAAATATACATCACAATCACAATGGTTCAACAGTCCCTGTGATCAAGTAATACTGTGATTGAAAATTATTGTGCTCCTTTATCCCCCTCCCCTTCTCCCCCTGCACCCACCCTAACCACCCACCTTGGTAACCACTAGTCACTTCTAAGTGTCTGTGAGTCTACTACTGTTTTGTTCCTTCTGTTTTGCTTTGTTTTTATATTCCACAAATAGGTGAAATCATATGGTATTTGTCTTTCTCTGCCTGGCTTATTTCACTGAACATAATACCCTCTAGATCCATCATCCATGTTGCTGCAAATGGCAAGATTTCTTCTTACGGCAGAATAATATTCCACTGTGTATATGTACCACATCTTCTTTATCCATTCATCTATTGATGGACACTTAGGTTGCTTCCACATCTTGGCTATTGCAAATAGTGCGATGATAAACATAGGGTGCATATATCTTTTTTTCAAATAAGGGATTTTGTCTACTTTGGGTAAATTCCTAGGGGTGGAACTACTGGGTCAAATGGTATTTCTATTTTTAGTTTTTGGAGGAATCTCCTTACTGCTCTGCACAGAGGTTGCACCAATTTACTTTACTACCAACAGTGTAGGAGGATTCCTCCTTCTCCACATTCTTGCCAGCATTTGTTGTTTTTTACCTTTTGGGTAGTGGCTATTCTAACCAGTGTGAGGTGATATCTCATTGTGGTTTTAATTGAACATAAGTGACGTGGACAATCTTTTCATGGTAAATTTTATGTTCTGTGTATTTTACTACACATACATGCAGACAAAAACTGTGGAGACAATAAAATGATCTGTGGTTACCAAGGGTTCAAGGCAAAGAAGGGATAATTAGGGCAGTGAAACTATTCTGTATGATACTAAAATGGTAGACACATGTCATTACTCATTTGTCAAACCCATAAAATGTACACTAAGAATGACCCTACTGTAAACTATGGACTTTGGGTGATAATAACATGTCAATGTAGGTTCATCAACTGTAAAGCAAAGTACTTCTCTGGGAGACTCATGTGTGTGTGTGGAGGCAGGAGGTATATAGAACTCTTTATACTTTCTGTTTTATTTTGCTGTGGTTCTGAAAGTACTCTTTAAAAAAGTATTTTTTAAATAGCAGACTAATATGCAAAAGAGCTTTTTTGCCTTTATACCTTTTAAATATTTTTCATAACTGCATCAAACAAAAACACAAAATTAAAGGGTCTCACATTGCCTGTGGGCCTCTGAGATGAATCCCTGGACTAGGAGTTCACAACCCTGAGTTTGAGGAATACTGATCTGTATCCTTCATTTGATATTTTCATATACCTTACCTAGAATTGTATTACTTAAATCTTTCATGCTTATCTCATTTTCCTAATGATGCTGCAAGTGATAAGGAAATGGTTGCATTTTCTATTTCCAGAGGATATGTACCAAAAGATACATTACATGGATTTACAAAAAAAGGAAACTTTTTTTGGTTGAGGAAACAAAAAACTTTCACAAAAAGGATGATTTTGAATTGGGTAATAAAATAAAAGCAGGATTTTAATTAAAGCATTCCCAGCAGAAGGGACAGCATTAGTACAGGGTCAGAGAAAGGAGAAAGGAAGACCTTTCTGAGGAGGAGGGAGTAGTCTGGTTTGATTGAAGCAATGGACATTGTAGTTGAGAAATAGGAGATAAGGTTTCAGGTTAGAATGAAGAGATAAACTGAAACCAGACTTGAGGGGATCCTTGTACATCAGATTAACAGGTCTTAATTTAGTAATGAGTGGGAGCCATGGAAATTGGTGAGCAGGCAAGTATAATCATCACAGCTGAGTTTTAAGAGAATTAATCTGACAGGAAGGTACAAATGAACTGAGGAAAGAGGCTGGGAAGCAGCATGAAGTAATGGTTAAGAAGACTTTAGTGAGTTTGCATTCCAGCTCTGCCCCTTACTGTATAAGTGGGCAAGTTATTTCACCTCTTTGGGTCTCAGTTTCCCAAATGAAAAACAAAGATAATTAAAACCACCTTCAAGGCTGTTGTAAGGATTAAATGAGATAACGCACAGGGCTTGGCCCAGAGTTTTACATTCAGTAAATAATAGCTATTAACATGCCTGTTAAGAGACATTAGGAAAGGGAAAGGAAATCTCAACAATTATGGATCATAATTCTAGAGTATGAATATTCAGCTGGGCTTTAAGAAAGGAGAAGCATCAAATCCCACTATGATTCCAAGCCTGAGTAATGGGAAAGTGATATTAACAGTGATGAAACCATTAAAGCTGTTCAGGGCAGAAGAAAAGAGGTTCATTTGTTTTTTTAACTTGTTTAGCTTGAAGGACTGGAAAATTATCCAGTGGTGATTCCAAGCCTATATTTGCCGGCCAGCAGAAATGGGGAACTGGTACCAAGAGAGTCTGGTATGGGTTGTCAAAGCTAAATCAATATACTTAAGAGTTGTCTCCAGGGAGGAAATAAAGCAAGCTGTGCAAATAGGTGAGATCAAGAAGAGGGAACAGTAGAGAAAGAAATCTGAAGACATAGACTATGGACACAGACCATGAAATATTATGCAGCACTAAGAAGAAAGGAACTATCAAACCTCAAAAATTTAAAATAGGCCATGCTTATTTTAGGCATATGGAAAAAGACAGAGGAACCTCTGAAGGAGTCAGATTACATGGTTAGGAGAAAAGAATGAGGATCCAAGACGGTGGAGTTTTCCTGCCCATTCTAAATGACTGGTGGGAAAACACTGCTTTGAACTGAACTAATGGGAACTGTTTTTCAGTGAGCTTTCTCCAAGCCAGTGGCACAACCATTAACCTGGCAAAACCACTTTAGTCATTTTGGATTACCAACAGTACTTACAGGCAACATCCCTAGGGCTTTAGCACAAACACAATTTTCAGTGGGAAGCAAAGCTCTTTAATGTTTCAAAGTAGCAAAATAAATTTTATATTAAAAAAGAAAACAGGCAACAGCTGGAGCTTTCAACAACCTTTAGAAATGGGCCTGTGTCTGGTAAAGCAGTTTGTTCTCAGTAGAGAACACTAAAACATTTTTAATTTATGGAATTAATCTTTGTGTATGCTAAGAACATAATATGACATAAATGAAGTTTAATTCAGCTCATACTAAAAGAGGCAAATTATGCTTCAATGCACCATTGTCTTTCTGGAAAAGAATATATAAATATCTGTACCTAGAAAAAAGACAGGAAGGCTGAATATCAAATTATTAAGTGGGATTCTTTTTAAGGGACAGGTCATGAATGATTATAATGTTGTTCTTCATGCTTTTCAGCATTTCACAAAATTATTACCATAGAATGTCATCAATCTTGAAATATTAAAAATGCCATTTAAAATGAAATAAAGCAATTTATACTCCATGACTTAAATGCACTGAGACTTCCAAGAAAGGAAAATAAAAATCATACCTCACTATGAAATACTGTGAAAATGATTTGTCAATAAATATCCACAAAGATAGATAAGAAGTCAGGAAAATAAAATACTATATGTTATAAACTGAAAATCTTTAATGTCTAAACTACATAGTCTATCTATTTAATCTATTGTTGGGATTTTAGGGATCAACTTTTAAAGTTTGTATATAATTCAATAGATCCCTCAAAGGGAGAGAGGCCTTGGCACAGAAAGTTTTCTCAAGTAAAAGGTCATCTGATGAGTGCCAGGTTAATCCATAGGGTCCACTACATGCAATTTCTTTAGTGGAAAACTTTCTCCTAGCCTGTGGTATGATCATTAATGTGGCATAACCACTTTAATCACACTGGATTACCAACAGTGTTTACAGGCAACACTCCCGAGGAATATAGCACAAAAGAGATTTTGCAGCTGCAGAGTTTCAAAGTGAAGTCCAGAGGGCCCAGGGTATAAGCTGCACTGATGCAGATGAGTCATGAGTTTCTGGCTATTGAATCAATCACCCCAGCAATGCTCAGGGGACCTGGGACTGGCAGTGCAATTTTCAGGATGTACTAATGATGTAGTAAATGAAAATTGAACTCTCCGAGTACAGCTTGTACTTTGATGGGTTCTGGTTTAGGCCTGCCCAATAAATAGAGCCCTTCTGGCAGTGAGAGGAAAGAGGAAAAACATAGCCAGTAAATCTTGTGCTTGCTTCAGTTCTGTTATTTTTCAACTTTTGTCTTCGTCCTACCTAAGACTGCCCAGAAAGGTTTAAAAAACTGATGTTTTAATCGTTTTGTAATCAGAGAGAGAAAACTCACCAGTTTCAATCCTGTTATCAACATCAGCTTTGACTTTTGAAGCAGAGCTCTCATCTGTCCCACAGTTTTTCATTGTCTTCTCCCTAGAGCTGCCACATAGAATAATCTATTTAAAACTCAAAGAAGTCTTCTGAGATCACCAGTAAATACTATTTAGAAAACATTAACTCATGGTGATCAGATTTTTTTCAAATGCTCTAGAACATACTGACTTCACAAATACTTCAGTTAAAGTCATTTTTTAAAAAGCTGTAGTATTTTTACTGGGAATAATGAAATAGAAGAACACTATAGTTGGCTTTTAAGGTATAAAAGCCAGAAAATTCAGAAGTTAAGATACTTTGTTTTCTTGACACAAACTTAGGTCTGAATGACTGAGGGAGTAAGAGTTTCTTTTGAATTAAAAAAACTCATAGTTAGGAACAGAAAGGAAGGTTCTGCTAACCAAGAATTAGAGTGGAGACAACTATAACTTGGAAAAACAGACAAGAAGGGCAAGTGCTTGCACATGACTGATGCAGTACAGTAAGACTGGAAAGTAGAATAAGTATAGATAGCCTAGACTATGAGCCAGGCACTTTATATTCCCCATTTAATTTAATCATAAAAGGTCCCTTAGTATCTATTATCTCCATTTCATAGGTTGGGGGAACTGGGACTCAGAAAGGTCTAATAAAATTCTTCACCAAACTTTGGAGAGCTTGTAAGATATTAATTTAATGCAGGGCCCTTGAGTAACATTTTACCTCTGGTTTTGCTATCACTGTATGTAACTAAATAAAAGTATGATGGTGCTAATTATTTGCCTTACTAGAAAGTGTATTCAGTAATATACTGATGCACCTGTGTATTTCTGTAGTAAACAGGGTACCCCAATGAATTTAAAATAAAAATTAGTTTACAAAATATAACATAGAAATAATTTTTTAGAAACATTCCATTTCTTCCTACTATAAATTTTGAACAGCAGGGTGAATTTCACTCTATGCAAATTAACCTTATAAATTAACTTCAATAAACCTGACTGAAAAATAGGGAAAAATAGATAACTAAAAAAAATAGGAAAGTAAGGATGCTCTCTGAGGGTTACTTTATAAAACATATAATGGATTAGAGCAAAGATAGGCAAAGTCACTGGAAAAGAGAAGGATCCCAGGCCAACAAGTACTGACTTTATTCATCATTCAACAAATTATTTCTTAGCACCTGATATGTGCCAGGCACTATGGGTACTACAATAAACAAGAAAAGCAAGGTCCTTGTTCTCATGGAGCTTATGTTCTAGTGGAGGAGAAAGGCAATAAATAAATAGAAAACTCATTCTGGTGAAGAATATTTAATATTGTAGGGATCTGTTTTGTCAAATTAAAAATGGCTTAATTTAATATTATTTAATAATTTAATATTTAACAATTTAATATTATGGGGTATGTTTTATCAGATTAGAACTGGTTATGTATGGGAAGGAAATTACTATATATTATTATTAATATTTATATATTTAGTCCTTAACATGTGTTATATATTATATAAACACACACACACATACACCTAAGACTAAGAGCATGATATTTACCGTAATATAATTAGTGTTTATTTCTAGGTAGTGGGATTATGAGTTACTTATTTTACTTCTTGTTTTTTTTTCTGAACTTCGCAAATTTTCACAATAAACATGTATTTACCTTTACAATCAGAAAAAAACCTCATATGTGTCTATAGGTACACACAGATGTCTGGAAGGGTATATGCCAAACCTCACTGGTGGCAGTATATGGAGTAATTTTAACTTTTTTCACTGTACTTACCTGTATTGTTTATATTATTTGTAATGGGCTTCTATTCTGAAAAAATAATAAAGCAATTTTTTTAAAGCATTAGTTTTGAGGTAGAAGATATAATTCCTTACTTTGATAAGATTTTAGGAAAATCTACAATTCAGATACTTCAGAGTTTCAAGGTCTGCTTACTTTGGGTTTTGTAGAAAAATGTTTCCCTTATACTTTAACACATTTATCTCTAACAACCTTGCCCATGGTAATGTAATTCTCCTAGTTCAATAGGAAAAGACCATGTAGTGACTTATAACTTCACAAATAAAAGGTTGGTAAAAATTCATGAGAATAAGTCATCTCATAGTATCCCTATCTATAAATTTCGAACAACTACTTTAGAGATTTACAATTATATCCAAAGCAGACCCAATATTTCAAGAAATCAGGAACATTCCTTCTGAAGGCCAGATTCTCATCCCAGATAAATCTCAATATGTTGAGCAGATTTTAGTACTGATCTGAGGATTCTTAGAACTTGTGGAGATTTCTGCTGGAAAATGAAGAAGGTTAAGCAGGAATTCACTACTCTCTATGTCCAGAACCAAACTAAGAAATGTGTTGTAAAGAATCATCTTACCTTTTTTCCACCTCTAAACGAAAATTTTCACTGTTGCCCAGCTGACTAAAATGCAGTTTAGCAGCTTTTCTTTCACTTTCTCGTACAGCTCGTTCATCTGAAGGGAAAAACCGTGGTCTGAGCATGTTTCTTTTTTGGAGTAAACAACAGTGGGTCAGAAAACCGGATCACAGAGTAAAAACCATATCACAGAGTAAAAACTAAAGACCAGTCTCATCTTTTGTTAGAGACAAGTCACAAAATAATGCTATTATGTTGACACTGGAGCAAATAGTAACTCAGGGAGACTACAGGTATACCATAGCAACAACTGCCACATAGGTTTAAGTAACTATGCCAGCAGAGAGTAGAGCTTGGGCAGTAAACAATCCAAATGGCCCAAAGTTTCTGAAAGACTTTACTTTGTTTCCATGCAGAAACTTTCCCAGGGCATGTGAAATCGAAGTGTGTATCAATAAGAAATGTATATTCAACAATAAATCTATAAATACAGAGGACCTCATTTGGAGGAATATTTACTGTTCTTTACCAGCTAAAACCCAAAGAATTGTATTAGTTTTCTTTTGCTAATACAGTTGCAGAGTTGGGGCACCTGGAAAAATAAATCTCAACCTGGAAACTTTTTGTTGGGAAGGAAGTAGTGGTGAAACCATCAGCTGAAGAAAACTAAAGCTGGAAGTAACTGATAAAATCATAGACTGTCATTCAATAAACAATAAAAGGACTTGTCATACATCCTGCCAACACAAAAGAGTTACATAAATATTGACTAATAAACAAATATTTCCTGCCAGTGCACACTCTAGGCCAACATCCAAAAAGTTAGGAGGCAGCTGGTTTAAAATAAGCTTCTGGGGCACGGAACAGAGGAGGAGGGTCTCACCCAGTTTCTCCAGAGTTTGTAGCGTGTACACAGCAAAAAGCCTATAATCTGTATCTTTCCTGACAACAGGATTGAGTCTCAAATCTAGTTCTTTGAGGAAGGGTAAAGGCTGTAGGCGGGACACCTCCACTAATGAAGGAATGTTGTTATAATATAAATTCAGGTCTTGGAGTGAACATAAATACTGGATACCCTGCAAGGAAAAGACCACATTATGAAACTGTACATTAGTAAGGACTAGGAATCTCACAGATAAAGGTGGAAATATATCTATTACTTTCTATCCTTAAACATGAGAAAGAAAGAATTGAAATTCCCATTTAGTTGCCTAAGAGTGAGAACACTTCAACCCATGGGCACTGGATGTTCTAGACATTAAATATTTCACGGACAACAATGATTTCCACCTCCGTGTTATGTGCATACATCCATAGAGCTCTTCATGTGTTTGCTGCCTCACTCTGCTCGTCTTTCCTGCACTGTCCTCTGCTCCCCTATACCATGACCTGGAAATTTTTCTTTGTCTTCAAGACTACCATTTCCTCCTCCTCCTTGAAAAAGCCCACAGTAACAACCTACACCAGTGTTTCTCCATGTGAGTTCCATGTACCAACACCATCAGAATCCCTTGGGTCTGTCCTGAGCCCACCCCAGGTAAACTAACTCAGAATCTCTATCAGTCTAAGCAGAGACTAAGAATCTGTACTTTTGCAAGTACTCCTCATATTTTTTTACACATATTAAAATTTGTACTATTTTCCAAGGCTGTGACAGTTTAATATAATTTTCCCTGAGTACAAAAGGATTTTTTCCCTATATTTTATAATAAAAACTTTCAGACATAGAGCAAAGTTGAAAGAATTTTACAACAAATAAAAATTTAGTTTGCAAACATTAAAAAGGAAGATCCTGTATTTCCTAGGATGACATTATCTATCTCTTATTTCTTCCCATAAAAAATATAAACTGGCTGATATGGCTGGTCACAGAATATACAACTTACCTTTAGGCTAGTGATCAAATTTCTTGATAAATCTAAGGATCTGAGGTTTTTAAAATTTCTGAAGGCATCACCAATGGAATGGATTTTTACAGCATAAGATCCCTGCAATGAAAGAGACTCCACCAGTTCTGAAAAGAGATCATCAGTAGATACATTATGAACTCTTCTTGGATAAACAGCAGAGTCAGTGAAAATAGCCCTTCCTTCTTCCCATATCCCATCTATGAAAGGTCCCACATCCTAGAAGGAATAAGAGGCCCCTCCATAAGAAGATCTGATCTTCCTTTTAAAGGCAGCAATATCATCTAATTCGGTGATACCAAACCTTGGATTTAGCCCTATAGATAATATTCACAAAATTTTGTCAGGATATATAATATATACCACAAAGATATCAATGCAGTAAGGTTTTAGGATAGTTTTTATAAAAGAGAAAGAAAAGTAAGAGAAAAACTGTCAAAAGGTCCATCAGTAGAAGAGTAGAACTAAATGTTATTTAGTAGGACAAAATAACAGTACATTGATACAACAGACAAAGTACTAGATCTGTGAGCTTGTACAAGTCAACTTTAACTCTCTGTGCATCAGTTTCCTTATCTGTAAAATGGAGATAATAACAAAACTCATTAGGTGCCGTAAGGATTAAATGAATATATATATATACAAAACTTAGAACAATACTGATACATAGTGACTACTATATATGTATTAACTGTCATGCGGTTATTAAAAAGAATGAGGTAGATTTGTAGATGCTCATATGAAAAGATCTCCAAGACATTAAGTGAGGGAAAAGTCTGTGTGTGTTTTAAAGAATATGTGTGTGTGTGTGTGTGTGTGTGTGTGTGTGTGTGTGTGTGTGTGTGTGTAATAGTGAACTAGACTTTCAACAGCACTTAAGAGAGGAAAATCTCAACTTGCCAAAAAGAACTTACTGGCCAAGTGTGGTAGGCCAAACTGAAAACAGCAATCAAAACTGAAAGGAAGTTCTGCAGGATCCAATTTGCAGGTGAGTGCCAGGGGACTAAAATGAAATAAAATCTTAAGGTGCTGGAGCACTCTGGGCTCTGTAAACTCTAAAAAGTAATAAACTGAAGATCCCTTTCAAGACAAGACCCACACCAGGGACTTAAATTAGTGGAAATAAAATCTACACTAAGTGGGACAGAGACAATGGATTCAAAGGAAAGAGGTCCAAAGACAAGTGGGGGAGAGAAGCAAAGATGGCAGATTTTAGGAAACATAAAGCCCTATTTTTAGTGCTTTGTGAACACAACAGGAGAGAGAGTTTCAAAATCTTGAAAATGGAAAAGCTATTCTGGTCCACCCTTCCCATTTAAAGTATAGGAAAACTTACTGCACTTAAATAAAGAACCACTGAAAAGAGCAAAACAGTATCCCTAAAGAATGAAATAACTTCAGAAAAATACATCCGCAAAACAAATAAAAATTGTAACTTAATATTTCAAAACAAGCTAAAAGATATCATAACAAAAGGTAGTAGTTCTCAAAGTGTGGTCCCTTAGAATGCTGGAGGTCCCTGAGACATGTACAGGAGCCCACAAAATCAAAATTTTTAAAAACTATTTTCATAGTAATATTAAAATAGTGATTAGCTTTTCCACTGTTTTGACATTTTCACTTACGGTGCAAAAGCAAAAACTACACGAGCCTTAGCATGAATCAAGGCAATGGCATCAACTTCATTCTTAGTCATTGTATTATTCACCATTTATGCTTGCCAGTTTTTTTTAAAAAGTCAGTTTTACTTAAGAATGCCCTTGAAAAAGCAGTAAAAATGGTTAACTTTATTAAATCTCAACCCTTGAGTAGATGTCTTTTTTATATTGTGTGAATGCATTAAATACTTCTGCTACATACTGAAGTATGGCAGATGCCTTGAGGGAAAACACTTGTGTGATTTTTGAGTCGCAGGCTTACCTAGCTACTTTATTATGGAACCATAATTTTTACTTGAAAAAACCTCACATACTATAGTTATCCATACTTAATATTTGGCAGACATTCTCTTGAAAAGAAACAAAGTGAGTCTGTCACTTCAGGAAAATAAATGATAGTAATTGTTGTCAATTATAACAGTTGAGATTCCAAGCAGAAATTGGAATTTTGGAAAACTTGTATCTGCTACCATGAACTTGACATTTTCTCAACACTTGAAGAGCTTTTCTAATGATATTGGTAGTATTATTAACAAATAGGATTTTTTAATGTTATATAGTGAAATTTGTCAATACTTGGAAGATCTACATAACTCGGTGAGTTAATATTTTTCATATGACAAATGCTGGATGTTACACAATCATGGATGGGTAAAAAAAGCCCATTGAAATGCAAAATGTGCAGTGGATTTTAATATAGTACAAAAATTTCATTCATATGGTTCGGATTCCAAATACAACTGAACTTTAAGATCCCACTTGCCCAATTTTCACATCAAAGAATATCCACAATTCTCTTAAAAGAGTATGAAAATACTCCTCACTTTTTCCAACTACATATCTGTATGAAGCATGATTTGTTAAACATATGTATTTCAACCAAAACAACATATCATAACAGACTTAATCCAGAAGCAGAGATGAGAATCTAAATATCTTCAATTAAGATAAAGAAGAGATTTGTAAATATATAAAACAATGCCTCTTTCCTCACCATTTTTTTGTTTTGGAAAATACAGTTTTTTTCCCCCAAATACTACTTATGTTAACATGTAATGGGTATGTTATGGTTATCTTTTAATGAATTAATAAATAAACATTTTAAACTTTTCTCAGTTTAAATTTCAAATATGGTAACTATACGTAGATAGAGCCCACATTAACAAAAGCTCTGAAGTCCTCAATAAGATTTATGACTGTAAAGGAATCCTGAGTTTGAGAATTGCTGAAAAATGCAAATTAGAATTAGAAAAATTCAGAAAGATTACTGAAAAGAAAGAAGGCAGAAAGATTACTGAAAATAGAGAAGGCAGAACTCATGAAATAATAAAAATAAAAGATCATTTCAGAAATGAAGATTAGAGCAAAATAAACAATAGAACAATTCCACTTTTGGGTATACATAGAGAAGAATTGAAAGCAAGGACTCTACAAGGACTCTAAAAGATATATGTACACCCATGTTCATAGCAGCTTTATTCATAATAGCTGCAAAGTGGAAACAACCCAAATGTCCATCAATGGATAAATGGATAAACAAAATGTGATATATATTCTAGTGTATGCAATGGAATATCACTCAGCCTTAAAAAGGAATGATGTTCCAGGCAGTTATTTTGTAGATACACCAAACTGATTTTTAAATTTATATGGAAAGCAAAAGACCTAGGCTAGCCAACACAATATT